ATTCGAAACAATTGCTATTGGAAATAAAGATTAATCGTAAATGCGATAATGGACAATTTTGTGAATAACAAAGGTGATAAAAACACATAGAAAAGATTGAACTATCTTTAACAAATTAATCTACTTTTAGGCAAGAAGAAGAGAAATAATAATAAACGTGAATTGTGTTTGTTTTACTCTAATATCATATCGATCGAAAAATTATTATTTGCAAAGCAAAATATTCGGACGCTGATAATAATTGGTCAACGAGATATTAGTTCTTTCAGTGCAATTTCACAATTAATAGAATTGCAGGAATTATGGATCGTCGAGTGTGGTATCAAGGTAAAAATACAAATTGAATTGTAATCAATATGATTATAGAAATTGGAGTTTGTCTTATTTAGGATGTACCACCCTTCAAAGAAAATTGTTTATTGAAGAAACTTTATCTGTATTCCAACGAAATATCTCACATACCAAATTTAGAAGTTTGTTCACATTTAAATGTTTTATATCTATCAGGAAACAATATACGCAAACTTGAGGTATGGCTCCTTTATATTTTTTAAACAAAAATTTTTATTTCTTAAATATATGTATTCGTAAAAAACTTATATTAAATAATATATATCTAATTTATATAGAATTTGGATACGTTAACGTGGCTACAGGAGCTTAATTTAGCTAACAATAAATTAGAAAGAATAAATAAAATATCTTGGAGAAAGTCTGAACTACGCAGTCTAAATTTAGCAGGAAATCCCTTGTGTTTTATAAAGGTATGTAGAATATTTGAATAAACTGTATTTGTATATTAATATACTTTCTTCAATTACAAGGATATAAGATATCTATCACAATTGCAAAAATTAAATTCATTAGTATTTACGGATCCATTATATGGAGATTGTCCTTTGATAAGTTTTTGCAATTATCGCATATATGTTATTAATTATCTTTCACATCTTAAAAAATTAGATCATTACAAAATATGTGAAAGAGAAAGATGTTGGATCAATTATTTTTTCAAGTATTTACTTATTTTAGTTTCTTGGCAAATTTCTTCTAGCAGCATAATAAAATATTTGAAATTTAAGTAATTAAGTTTTATTTTTAGAAAAAAAATAATATATTATAATGTATCATTTCATAAACAATTAAACATGTATTTGAGTTTATTGAAAGGTAAATATAAGACATATAAAAAAAAAATACTTCACTTTAAAAACCAGTTATACGCAATTGAAATTGAAAAGGTATTTAATGCTTTAATTTAATTAATTTTTATATATAGAATAATATTGTTATTACTAATTATTTTCTATTAATTACAGAATGATCAAAATTATTTAAAAATGCAAACATATAATGAATCAGAAAATATAATGTTGCAAATGGAATTAAATAAAAGGCAACTCAAAGAAATGAGAGAAAAACTAATCTTGCAATTTAAAGTATAATAAGTATTTCAATTTTTTCTTCTTTTAATTATTTGAAGTGAATTATTCATGGAAATTAAATGATTATATCATTTATATATCAGATTTTGCACCAGCAATTGCTAATTAATATAAATTATTGCGCAAATATAAGTTTTGTTGAATACAATAATACTTCAGAAAACACAGTTATCCAATTATGTAAACAATTTTTGCAAGCATCATTATGTCCAGTTATGAAAGAGTAAGTCAAGTATACTTCTAATTATTAGAGTATTTAATAGAAATATTTATATGTAATAAAACTTTTATAATAACTTTTATTAACAGCATAGGTATAATAGATTTAAGATTACATAAAGTAACAAAAGTAAGCAATAAAGAAATTGATATATTAAATATTTACAAAAACAAAAATTTATTATCAAAATGCGACTGCATGATTTTAAAAATTTTAGCTCATCCTGGAGTAACAGATATTCAGCAATGGCCCTTTAATTTTTTTCAAACTGACTTATTTACTGAAGTACTTATATATTTTTTGTTATAAGAAATAAGATTTTATATCACCCAAAAATAAAGTAATAAATATTTTAATTAATAGGAAGAAATGACAGTAACTAATTGCTTGGCAGCAGCAGATTGTGATTGGTTAAATAAAGTTTTCTCGATAAAGAAAGATAAAAATATCTTAAATCTTTGTAATACTTGCGAAAAAATACGTGTTTGTGTACTTATACAAACACCAATTTTCAATTCAACTGAAAAGTAATAACAATAATATTAATTTTTGTTATATTAATTTTTTCATATAAAAAACATTTTTATATAGAATAGATAATGTTCATGACTGCTTACACATCAAATATACAAATTATGAAAATAATTCAAATGAAGTATGTCAAATATTTAAGTTGGCAAAGGAAAACATAAAAAATCCTATGTTCGTAATAGAGTATGAATATATATTGCATGAATTAACAAAAGTAAGTATTTTTATTATTTCTATTTAACTTCAATAATTTTTACAACATTAAAGTTTCATTAATAAAGAATAATTTACAAATTGTTCCACAGAAAGAAGAATATAAAAATAGCATAATTGCGTGCACTATAAATGATATAATATTTACATGTTTATCCAGTTCTAATATTGAACGATGTATTAGTTATGATAGAAAAGTGGAAGTACATAATCTTGTAAAAATATGTGTTTCTAAACAAAATATAAATTCAATTGATATTGATTTAGATTTGCCTAATTTAAGAGAATTTGACATTTCTTATAATCAATTGGATGAGTTTCCAAATTCAAGGTTTATGAAAAATATACAAATACTAAATATAAGTTTTAATAATATAAAATTATTACACGTTGAAGAAACTTTACCTATGTTAAAAGAACTGGACATATCATGGAACTTATTAATGCATTGCCTTCAATGCATTAGTATTTTTAAAACTTATATATTTAATATGTATAAACTAAATATATATGACAATCATTTTAATGATATTACTGATCCTCAATTAATAGAATACTTATTACACATATATTTACCAAAATTACAGAGTATTAATAATTGTAAATGTGAAAATCTTATTTTACCTCAAAGTTACTATCCATGTGCATTTAATATGTGCAAACTAAATAATAAAAGACATAACAAATTAATTTATTTAAAACACAATACACTGAAAAGTATGGAAGAGTTAAAATTATTAGAGAAGAAAAATGTAGAGAAAACAAGATACATCCATATATCACACAATGTTATTGCAGCATTAAATATTTTGAAGAGAGCAAAGAATGTGCAAGAACTTTGTGTTACTTGTTGTTTATTATCTGTATTTCCTTTTACAAAGCCTTTGAAGTATCTGATTAAATTAAATCTTGGAAGTAATTTTATTTCAAACTTAGATGATTTTACTCAAGAAAATTTTCCAACATTAAAATATCTAGATTTAACTGACAATCTTATAACAAATTTGAGATCAATGGGATCATTTCATACATTACAAGAATTTTATTGTGGAAATAATGAAATAAGAAATATATCACAAATAGATAACGTTAAAACTTGGCAAACATTGCATGTTATTGACTTTTGCAATAATCCAATAAATACAACTACATTATATAAAAAATTTATTATATTTCACTTAAACAACATTGAAGTAAGTAAAATGTTTAGTTTTTTTGAATATAAATGTTTAATTTTTTTGAATATAAATATTTAAACTTCATAGGAATACTTATGCTTACTATAATTTTACTAGTAGTATATTTCTGGAGAATATGTAAGGAAATCTGATATTTCTGAAGCAAGGTATATATTTGGGAATAAATTTGACAAGTATGTATTAAATAAAATATATGAAACAGATCACCTTACAAATATTATACAATTGAGTTTAACTGATTGCTCTTTGTCAAAAGTATGTTATTATTTATAGTGTAATAAAAATTTTGCATCTATAATTTATCAAATTTTCATTAGGTGGATCTTTCTGCAAAAATTTTACCACGGTTAGAAAGTTTAGATCTAAGTAAAAATCGAATAACTTCTTTATGTGGTCTCCATTCCTTTAAATATTTACATACATTATGTTTAAGTTACAATTGTCTTGAAGCATTTAATGATAATGATTGTGAAAATATATGTATATTCTCGAAACTATACACTTTATTTTTAGATCATAATTGCATCAAGTCAGTACTAAATATCACTAAAGAAAAATTACCAGTGATTAAACATCTATTTTTAAACAATAATTATCTTCAAGACATCAGTGGTAATATTTCATATCATTAAAATAATTAATATACCATATGGATATTAATAATTAATTGTTAATTCAATCTTATACTAATATTTAGAAATAACCCACTGTTCTACTTTGAAATCCTTAACTTTGGATAACAATGCTATTGAGATATTAAATGTAAAAGATTTTATTCAAAATGATAATCTGGAGTTTTTATCTGTTGAAAATAATAAACTAACATCTTTGGAATTTATAAAATCATTTAAAAAATTAAGGAAACTTTATATTGCTCACAATTGTTTAGCAGTAAGTATAAATAAATTAGAATAGATATTGCACTTAATAATGAAAAATATATTTTAGAATGATAGTGAAATACAACATTTATTATTACTGAAAGATTTAGAAGAAATAACATTCGAAGGAAATCTTTTATATAATGAAATAAATAGAAATAAAATAATTGCTCGAGATTTTGGGATTCAAAATGCAATAAACGAGGATGTTTAATTTAAAAATAATAATGTTTATAAAGATGTTATTTTTTATATTGCATTAATTAAATATCAATGTTTTGAATGTGAACTTCATTAATTAATTAATCCAGAATAATTTTTAGTAACCTTAAATGAAACAATTACACAACTCAAATATACTGTTTTGATAAATTTAATTGTGATAATATATATGTATACATAAAGTAATTACATATTCTTATAATAGTGTTTATATTTACTAATATTATGAATGAATTTTCATGAATGAATTTGCTTTCATTGTACATAATCTTCACTCTCATGTTTACATTGTAATCAGGTGGAATGTAGTTTGTGTGTAGTTTTTATGCAAAGATCATGACTATATAACCTTAGTTACGACTTATTCAAAATAAAAATAAATGGAGCTAGAGACAATACTACGAAAATGTGCAGCAACGAATAAATGTAAATATTGATCAAAATTGATATTTATATATTAATAAACACTACTATTGCACACTGTTTACTGTTTTTCTATTGCCCACATAATATGCACAAGTTTTTACAGCAGAAGTAAATTCTGAAGAAAATGAAGAAAAAGAGGATGAATATTTTCAAAAGATATACGAACAATGGAAGGGGGCCAAAGCAAAAGATAAAGATTTAACTTATAAAGTGATACCTAAATTTTATTTTAAGGTAATGTGTACAAATATAAAACATGCGAGATCCACGAGTAATTTGTCTTTAAACATTTCATTGTATGTTAAATATTTTATTGTATGTTTTAGCTGCCGAAGGAAGATGAAATTTTGCCACAAAAATTACGAGAAGAAACACGAGCGTTATTTTTGCAAAGACGTTCACGACAATTGCTAGATAATAATGAACTTAAAGCATTATGGGTATTGTTAGATAAACATCATAGTCCACCTCTATCAGGAGAAGAGCAATTAATTAATTATGAAGATTTTAAAAAAGTTGGTAAATTAGCTGGGACAAAATGCAGTCCTTATTTTACTGCAGTTGTATTTGCAAAACTGCAACAAGGTGATCCTCATGGTAGGATTAGTATAATGGCGCTATTTAATTATGTTATGAGAAAGGTTTGGTTACACCAAACAAGGATTGGACTTTCTTTATATGATGTTACTGGTCAGGGATATCTTAGAGAATCAGTAAATGTCATCATCATATCTATTTTAATTAAATTAATATAAATTACAATTGCAAGTAACATGGATTTGTATTTGTTTTTTTTATAGGATTTAGAGAACTATATTTTAGAATTAATACCAACATTACCTCAGCTTGAAGGACTTGAAAAATCATTTCATTCATTTTATGTTTGTACAGCAGTAAGGAAATTTTTATTTTTTCTTGATCCCCTTAGAACTGGTAGAGTTAGAATACAGGATATTCTAGCATGTAGTTTTCTCGATGACCTCTTAGAATTAAGAGATGAAGATTTACCTAAAGACTTGCAAGAAGCAAATTGGTTTTCAGCACCATCAGCTCTTAAAGTTTATGGGCAGTATTTGAATCTTGATAGAGATCATAATGGAATGCTCAATAAAGAAGAACTTGCAGGGTAATTTAAATCAAATAATAATATCCAAAAAATTGTATTTTATAGTCACGATAATTTTATAAAACCCTTTTTTCACAGGTATGGTACAGGAACGTTAACTGGAGTATTTTTAGAAAGAGTGTTTCAGGAATGTTTAACTTATGAAGGAGAAATGGATTATAAAACATATCTAGACTTTGTGTTAGCGTTGGAAAATCGACACGAACCACAAAGTTTACATTATTTATTTAGAATTCTTGATATTAATAATCGTGGTTATTTAGATACCTTCTGTCTTAATTATTTTTTCCGTGTATGTACATTTATATTTTATGTAGAATTGCATGTTTTTTTGTTACTTCTAACAATCAAATATGTTTTTTAGGCCATACAAGAGCAAATGACAATGCATGGTCAAGAACCAGTAAGTTTTGAAGATGTTAAAGATGAAATATTTGATATGGTAAAACCAGCAGATCCATGTAAAATTACATTACAAGATTTATTATCCTGGTAAATAACTAACGAAACAGTATAGAATTATAGCTTTTGGGAAAAAGCAAGACTTATAATTTATTCTAATTTTATACTGGTAATTTTTAGTGGACAAGGTGATACAATGGTCAGTATTTTGATAGAATTCCATGGCTTTTGGGCGTATGAAAATCGTGAAGCTATGGCAGCTGATACTGGAGATGAATCATCTCACGTTTAAGAGATAAAGCTGCATAAAGTGTAGCATATTTCTATCAGATTAAATCTTTTCCTAAAATTAAGCACAAAAATGTTCAAGTTCGTTCAACGAACAACACTTATAATAGTTTAATAAAAAATAGTTTAATAAAAAAAATCTTTTTTTATCAATTACTATCTGCTCTTATTTACATATGTTAGTTTCTAATGTTCAATAAAGCTGAATACAGCTGAATTTTACGAGATGTCAAGTTAAAAAAAGAAGTTTTTGGCATGATAAATCTTTTTATTTCATCTTTTTATTTCAACCAATGGGAAGCCTCCATTTCAAATCGTCCTATGCAAACGTACGCTACCCCTCTTCAGATGCTGGTTTAATGATGTTTATAGCTCTGCAGTTGCTCCAATCCCACGAAGATCTTCGGTTGGTCTTTTTATGACGCTTCTTGTCATTTGAATTGTGCAAAACATTTTTCACATATTGCATTACTTTTACTACATCAAATCATTACCATTGAAACGATAAACGATTCATTGCGAATTTGTATTGTCATACAATTAATATTATTCAAAAAACGTTTGAAAGTGAGAGCTGTCACTTGCAGGCATTCGCACGCGATTACTACGGCGGTTGTGTTTAAATTCAACGGTTAAAAGTGATTCTTATATGTGCGTAATATAAAAAAAATACTCTTTCTTTCAATAATTCGTCACATCGATTTTGGTAAATTTAGCATAGTAAACTTAGGAAATATACTTGGTCCATATTCTAAAAATAATTATAAGGCGTCGGTTGGAATTTGGATAGTTCTGTTCATCATACAATGGACCCTTTCACCCAGGTAAGATTTTTTGTTCATTTGCGAAAATACAGCACTAGTGAGTGAGATTAAAATACTATTTTTGTTAATTAAAATATTATTTATTTGTGATCTTTTCTTAATATTTTTTATACTACATGTATTGTATTGTTATTTTTTAACAAATAATACACATTTTCTTTTAAATCATTTCATGATTAATTCTTTTATGATTTTAATGAGGTTCTCAATGATGAGATAATATTAATACGTAAATGATCTCTATCAACATTTTGGAGTAATGATAAATTGATTTAATTATACAGAGAATGTTGGAACGTGCTAGAGCAAGGAGAGAAAAATTAGATACTCAATTATCAAATGCAGGACATGATATAAAAAAAAGACGTAGTCCTTTAAAAGATGCAAATACTATTTTAGCTCAGGTTGCAGGTATCAGTATCTAATATATTATTTTTTTACATTTATTTCTATTTAGAATAAAATAAAGTTCTGATTTCTTTTTATAACATTGTCAAATACAATTTTAAACAAGAAAAATCTTTTTAATTTTAAGCTTCCAAAACTAAAACACCAACCAAATCTCCTGTTAAAATATCAACTGAGAACACATCTTCAGGAAAGTCTTCACGAAAATCTATATCTAAAAATGTTACTAATGAAAATAATCAGAATACAAACAAAGAAAATGGAAACATTGGATTGTGCAATGTGAAGTCAAAGTTACAGAGGCTTGGCGAGCTGTATTCTGGTAAGTCACATTGTATAACACCCACACATCTTGATTCAAACTGGTTTCTTCCACTACTTTACTTTCATATATATGTATACTCATTCAATGTATGTGGTGAACCAACTGTTTTGTTAGAGAGTTATGTTATATTTTATATTGAATTAATTTGATAGCATCAATATATTTTTATTTTAAATAATTATATATATATATTTTTTATAAATATATTTAATGAAGTTTAATTTATAACATATAACATATCACACAACATATTTTCTTTTTTTTTTCAAACAGATGACAGTAGTAAAGAATTAAGTTCTCCTATTCATCGAACAGAAGAAAACTTTAATGCAGAAGAAGAAGTTATTGAACAAAAATCATCCAAACGAGGAGCTAGACTTGATAGATTAGCAGCTCTTGCTTCAACAATTAATAACTGGGAAGATGATCTTTCACACCCAACTTTAGTAAATAAATTATCCATAGTTTACGTATATTATTTATTAATTAATATATTTTAGATAATTAATAACGTGAATCATTTATAGACAAAACCAGCAAATAGTAAAGCAGACAGAATACAAGCAAAGTTAAATGAACAAGTAAAATCTATCCCAGAGCCACAACCAAGCACAAGTGGATATAACAAGGGAAATAGATATAGTAAAGGTACTAATTCTAAGAAAGAACAACCTTCTACAAAACAATTGAAATGGGATAAAACTATATTGGAAACACTAGTAAGTAATTTCTATTAAATTTTTTTATTGTATATGTCTAAAGCTTTTTAGAAGTTTTCTGTGAAGTAATGTATACACATTAGAAAAAAAAGACAACTATATTTATAGCATTTACCCTTTTTATTTTTTTTTTCATACTAATAATTGTATTCAAGATAAAGGAAAAAATTTATTTCAAATAGTTGAATCTGTTAGATTAAAATACTATTTACAGGAGGCTCAAGGCTTTAGTCGTACACAAAGCGATAGTCGCCTTGTATATGACTATAAGACTTGTTCTCAGGGAAAAGATGAGGGTTCTTTGAGTTCATCATCTAAATATATTCGGCAAAATCAACAAACTGTTACAGTAATTTGCGAAGGGAAACAAGATAAAAAAGAAAATTTATCAAAACATATTGATAACAAACATTCTAATACTCCAGAAAAAACATCAAGAAATATAACACCAAACACAAATAATAATCGATTAACACCTAGATTTGGTTATAATGGCTCTCCTAAAAGCCCTGCTCAATCTAGCCCAGGTTCAGTATTAAGCAAAGCTTCCTTATTTGAATCTAAGAATACAGAAACTAAAGCAAAAGAAAAAGATCCTACCCAAATGACACTTTCTGAACGAATGGCACTTTTTGAGAAAAATAAAGAAGCACCATTATTACCCAAGGCGCCTCTTGCTATGTCCATACCTCCGAAAAAATTGCAAGAAAAGGACAATAGTTTGTCGACAATACATCCAAATAGTAGAGGTATCTTTGCTATTAAAAATTAATTGCATAAACATATGCATTATTATTATTTATTATTATTTAACTATAACAGTTCAATATTTCAATTCTGTTACAGTAAAGGAACGATCTAAAGCTGATATTCCTAATAATGCTGTTAATGTTCAGCGAGAAAAATTTGAACAAGGTTTAAATATGCAAGAGTTAGAAAATAATATTTTACATAACACTTATCTAGAACGACAACGTGAATTAGATGTGTTACGCTCTCGTTTTAATAGAAATAAAGAAATGGTACAAGCAGCTGCTGGTTCATGTATTAGAACAAGTGAAAGTAGTGAAGGAAAATCAAATTCGCCTAAAAATTCTCCAATTTGTCCAGTAAAACCAACGCCTGCGCCTGTAAATAAATATTTATTTTTATGTTGTTTTCAAATATATTTCTAATGGAACATGTTAAAATTATTTTTATAGGATCACAGTGTACCACCACCTCCGCCACCTCCTCCACAATCACAAATTTCTAGGGAGAAATCAGTCTTAAATCAGAATAAAAATTCACCAATTAAAAGACAAGGTATAAATTATATACATAAATATTCTATATTTATAAATTTTTTTATTTGAAGTTCATTTTAATGTCTCTTATTTCAAAGTTGTAAGTAGTTCAACAAAAACAACTCAACAGACAAAAGCAGCGTTTGATATTAAACGCATTCGTGTTGCTCCACCTAAACTTGGATATCTCTATCCTAATCTTTCTGAGATTGAAAATAGTACAGAAACAGAAACGGATACAGAGTATATGGTTAACAGTACAGAAGCAGAGACTGCTACTTTAGATGAGAAAACTAGTACAGAGACAGAAACAGAGGCTGAATATTACGTGGAGGTAAGATATTTTTAAAAATATGAATGTTATATTATTACATATTAATTTTAATGTAGGATAATGAAAGTGAAGCTGACAGTGAAGAAGAAACTGGAAACATGAATACTAGTCTTGGAAGTATTTTACGTGTTGTTAATGAACAGTCTTTCCTAAACAAAAAGGTATAAATATTTCAAATTAATAATCAATATATAATAATAAAGTTATATATATTTATTATCGTAATACTTCAATGATTGACAATTACAGAGATCGATTGATCCAGATCCAGATAGTACAACTTCCGATATTTCAGTATTGGATGAAATGGACGAATATTTAGATGAATGTCTTGCATCACAAGACGGATATAATGAGAACTCCTATACAGAAGAGGGACCAACTCCTCCTAAGTTAAATAAAGCTGGTAAAAATCCATCAACGACTTCAATAAGTTTCAAATATAATGAAGGGTAAGGTAACAAAAATGATAATTAAATATTAATGTATACTTGCACTGATTGAAATTATTTAATAATCTTTTAAGATCATCTTATTGTTCACCTGTAAAAAAAGTTTTTCCATCTCCAAAAAAGGAGGAGGCTTATATTGTAGATGGAGAAAATTGTGAACCATTATTACGTAGTGTTAGTTTTTATAGACGACAACAATCTCAAGTAAGCTATATAAATATAATAACCTTATAATTTGGAATAAAATTTTTTAAATCTTCAAATTATAATATTAGACACCAAAAACACCAGTACGTATAATATCAAGAACAAAAGAGTCAACTAATCCTATTTCTGACACGACACAACTTGATACCAAAAGTGAAGCAATTTTAGTAAAAGAAAAAGTGAAACGATTATTAGATGAAATATGCAAACAACAGACAATTATTGGTCAAGCTAGTCAGGCACTAAATTTGTGTACTTCTACTGTGGAATTCAATGGTTCCAGGGAACAGGTTGAAGGAGAGAGATTATTGCTTCTTGCTAGTAATTATCTAGTTTCTTTAATATAAATATTTTCAATACTATTACTATTATATACTATTATATACTAAATATAAAATATATATTTTCTATTAAAGCTCACAGAAGACAAGCTGCACTAAATGAAGTTCAACGATTGAAAGTAGAAGGTTCTTTAAAACCTGTTACTCCTGGATCGCCAGAAGTACAAGAAAGTGGTTCTCTAACAGTGTCCGCTATTACCTTACCTCTTAAACGAGATCATTTCCGTAATATGGGAATTAGTAAGTAGAATACTACAAGATAAAGATAAATTCCATCAAAAATTTTTTTTAAAATTTTAAATTTTAGGTACGTGTCTTCATTTCGTTTGTTTGATGCGGCACTTAGAAGAAATAGTTGCTACTCCAGTAGTTATAGCAGAACCTGGTGATTCATGTCTTCGATTTCCATCAACGCTAAAACTAAATGATTTATATAGTGACTTTAAAATTACTATTGAAGTATATTCGTTACAGACACAACCAGAACTCTTACCACATGAAATTAAGTACCATATTAATAGTGGCAGTGCATGTGGTAATAATAGCAGTAATTCCAATAAAAAGGTACGTATTTATGTATAGAAGTCTATCAAGTTTTGTTTCATTATAAGATTATACATATTTTACATTATAAGATTATACATATTTCACACATTTGTACTTAAATATATCGTAGTTAGCAAATAAAACTCCAAAGAAATTTTTAAAACAAGAAAGTCGATTAGTAATGCCTAATGTGCAAAGTCCAGCTGGACCATCTGCTGTTAGGTCTCCAGCTTTCCAGCTATCTGGTTATGTTATTTTCAGTTTGAAAGAAATACATCGACAACAATTCACACTGAATAAGGTAAATATATAATAATCATTAGTACAAGATGAAAAGTTTAATGTTTTAATTGACAATTTATAGGTACCACCAGAATGTCCATTAGAAGGTCAGTTGCAAATGCATGTTTCATGCGAACTTTCGGTAGCGGTTGAACATAGAGGATTTCTTACGATGTTTGAAGATGTATCTGGATTCGGAGCTTGGCATCGTAGATGGTGTTTACTCAAAGGCCCTACTTTGTCGTATTGGAAATATCCTGATGATGAACGAAAAAAAGCTCCAATTGGAAGTTTGGATTTGCAAAGTAATTTTTTATTGTTTTAATTTATTATTAAAAACAATATTAATGCAATACATTATTATATTTTAAATGTATAGATATTACTACAACCAATGTAGGATTGATTTCTCGAGATATTTGTGCTCGTCCTAATACCATTTTGCTTGAAACAACTAAAGCTGCAGAACCTGAAGATGTTGATAGTCTAGTTATAATTAGGAATGGACCAACAACAACAATTAGGTACGTATTTTACAGATTATTTGCTTTGATTAATGATAATATTAATTAATTTTCATTTATTTCTAGACATCTTTTATCAGCTGATACAAAAGAAGACAGATTAGAATGGTGTTCGAAACTTAATAAAACACTACATTTGATACATGCTTGGAGTGGACCATTGGCATTATCATAATAGTTTATATGCAAAAATATAAAATCGTAGCGTATTAAAATACGCTTGTTTATTGATATAATGCGTACATGTAGTCGTACGCAATGTATACTTGTGTATACTAAACAATGCAATTAAATTTTAATTGAAAATGATTTATATTTAAAATCTATATATTATAAATCTGGTAAATCATGAAAAAAAATTCTTTGCTAAAAATTAATAGTATACGAATATTAATAATAGAAAGCTTTTTTTAGTATAGAAAGTACAGTATAATTTCAATCAAATAATCATTAAGTAATCAAATAAGTAATCTAACAAAGTACTTTCGTCGAGACAAATAGATAAAAAAGTAACTTTTTACTTTTCCGATAGTAAAATAATTTAAATTTCTTTATACAGAAGGAAAATATACAAAATACATACATAAATAAAATAATACATATAAACAAAATAATTACATAAAAAAATTAAATATTCAAATTTAAAAATATAAATTATATAAGATTTAAGATACTCATGCATTTATTATAATGCATTGTAATGAATTGATATGATTATACAAAAAATTTGTATATGGTTAAAATTTATACTGTAGATTACATCTACAAGGCTACTTCAATAGCAGCTTTAAATATTATTAGATTGTAAATAAGAAAATAATAGTATATTATATTCACTAACAAGTATATTGTTCACATTATAATATTATTATATTCACTAACAAAAAAATATATATGTATACACAAGTACTGATATAATAATATTGCTATACTACAATATTACTGCTAAAAAAGAATCATAACAATTTTGTATTTCAAAAAATTTTTATATTTTTTACTCTTCTACACAAAAATTAACTTTATACTTTATCATCGTTAAATATTAAAAATAAAAGGTCAGCCATCAATTTTTTTTTATATTTTTTCAATCCTTAAAATTGATTATATGATGAAAAGAAAATTGTCATAAGTAAAGATACGTCTCGTTGCATATATTTATATAAAGGTAAAAAAATTTATAACGCATACATGTTAATTTGTGTATATATTTATTTGCACAATTGTTTTGTTACATACATACAGTAAAAGTATAAAAAATTACTCATTTTTACACAAATTCTAAAACGTGTAAATGAGTGATTCGTCGTCGCCTCTTCCAAAATGGATCATGAATGGAACTTCTAACGCCTCTTGTTCAAAATGTTTATCAATAGTTTCTCTGAACTATTTAAAATAACTTGTTTGATGCATTGGCACGTAATTATTACATTGGCAAATGTAATTAGAATATGTCACTGTCGTAATTATTTTGTATTAGATAAACAAATGTTTGTATGAACATTTTTTTATCTATTACCCTCTTTATTTTGGAGATTAGATCATGTATTATTAAATATTCTAATCACATTTATTATAGTATTCAATTTTTTACAGATTTTATAATATTATTTGCCATTAAAAATTAATTCTTTTTCTAATTTCATTGTTCTTTACAAATTTTCATTGATTTTTTTCTAATTTCATTGAATTTGATTATATGATTATAGAATAATCATTTTACTTTATACACCTTTGATCATTGGTATTATTATCATCGTGATTTTAATAAAAATGAAGAAAAAAAAAA